AAGTGGACATGACTAGAGAGCCTGCACTGGGTAGGCAGGTGGATTGCCCTATTGTGTTCTGAAGCAGAACTTTCCAGCCAAGCTGTCGTAGAATGGACTTTTGGTTCTGTGAGACAAATTTCAATGCCTATAGGTGACAAACAACAGCCTAAATGGTGGGGACTCAGGAGAGGGCTCAGTTCTGTGACTCTTGTCTCTCTCTCTCTCTCTCTCTCTCTCTCTCTCTCTCTCTCTCTCATTCTTTTTGTTTCTCTTTGGGTGGGTGTGGTGTGAGAAAATATACCTTTAGCTGATGAACAAAAGGAGAAAAACAAAACCAAACTATGAACACTGAGGAGACCAAGCTCTCACATTTCAGAATGTCATCCTGATACAGGGCTCTTTCAAAACGGGTGCGACAGAAGAAAGGTGATCAAAATTTCACATAGATATTTCCCTTTACACAAGATATGTATGAAAATATCTATGAAAGAAATTGACCCTTTTTTTGTTTGGTGCTTTTTAGTCTTTTTTTTGTCTGTTTGCTTTGGGTTTTTTTTGGGTATTTTTTTGGTTTTCGGGCCACACCTGGCGATGTTGAGGGGTTACTCCTGGCTCTGTACTCAGGAATCTCTCCTGGCAGGGTTCAGGGGACTATATGTGTTGGTGAGGATTGAACCCGGTTTAAGCCTACCTGCTGTGCTATTTTTCTGGCTTGACCTTCGTCTTCTTCTTCTTTTTTTTTTTAATTTTTAAGACATGTATTCTCTTTTGGGGAATGTCGGTCTCTGAGGAATATCTCATTAATCTGACTCCCAAAAGCACGGAGATGAGTAAAAATGAGTGTTTAAATTTTTTCTAAAAAATAAAACAAACAAAAAACCCCTCAAAATCATTTTCAAACCATTGTTTTCAAACCATTTTGATTGTGTATTTCTACGTTTTTAGATCCAGTCATGTATTATTGTTGAAAATAATACCTAATATGTCTTCCTTTTTTTATGCTTCTGGCTTAAGAAAAGATCGTTCTGAAAAAAAAAGTAAGCAATTTAATTACCAATACAAAAATTATTAAATGAGATAGTATCAAGCAATGCCAGGTGACTGTTAGCAATACTTACCTCATATTTACTATGCTTGTGTTTGAAAAGCCAAATGCACTCACTTCCAAGAATTAATAACAAGAGATTTCACTATGATTTGGAGGAAAACTTACTCAGGAAAACCCAGGCCTTAGTAGCCACACAGCTGTATGCTACCTTTTAAAAATAGACTTGTGTCTTAAATATCTCATGACATCACACTCATTGGTGGCATATAAACAAAGCCCAAAAGATAAAAGGAGAGCAGAAGAAAGGAAAGAGGAGGGGAGGGGAGGGGAGGGGAAGGGAAGGGAGGGGAGGGAGGAGGGGAGAGGAGGGGAGGGAACAAAGCAAGGAAATAGTGCGCAGTGAAAGCAAAAACTCGAAACACAATGAAAGACTGACAAGAGAACACTGGCAGCAGTTGCCAGGGGGTGATGGAGGGATACTGGCACTGGTGTCCTGCATAACACTATATACCTAAAGCTTCAATCTGGGAGCAGGTGGTTGAGCTACATGGAGAAGGGCCTGCTCCTGGCTCTGTGTGCAGAGCACCACCCCGGTTGTACTTGGGGGACCGTGCTTAGTGCTGCAGATTAAACCAGAGTGCGTCACATGCAAGGCGGGGGCCTAAACCTTTGTACTATCTGTGCTCATAAAGCACAAATATATTTACACTGTGGTAAAACATATTACTTCAGTAATCACAACCATCCTGTTGTTCGTCGATTGCCTCGAGCAGGCCCCAGTAATGTCTCCTTCGTCCTAGCCCTGAGAATTTTTTTAAAAAGTGCCATATTCAAGGCTCTTTCAGGGTTAGGAGAATGAGACCCATCTTTGTTACTGGTATTTGGCATATTGGGGACGCCACGGGGAGTTTGCCAGACTCTGCCGTGTGGACTTCAGTAATAATTTGTTAAATTAAAAAAATAAACAAACAAGGGTGGAGAAAGAATACGGGGTTAAGGTGTTTGTCTGGCATGCAGTCAGCTCCTGCTTGAGTCCGAGCACGGTGGGGCTGAACAGGCAACACAAGTCAGGCTCGGGCGCCTGTGCTGCAGGCATCCTGCTGGGATTTGATCTCCAACACCACAAGCTCCCCTGAGCGTTGCAGCAGTGACTCCAAAGCACAGAGCTGGGAATAGCCTTGAGCATCAGCATCACCAGCTGTGGCCCCAAATTCAAAACAAGTTAAAAAAAAAAGTATCGATGAAATGAAAATACACTAATCCATTTTAAAAACTGTGGATCTGGAGTGATAGTACAGCGGGTAGGGAGGATGCCTTGCATGCAGCCACTCGATCTGGACACCTGAAATGGCCCCCTGAGCTCCACCAGGGCTGATCCCTGAACACAAAGCCAGGAGTAAGCCCTGAGTACCGCTGGGTATACCGCCCCTCCCCGCAAAAAAAAAAAAAAAAAAAAAAAAAAAAACCCACAAAACTTGGCATATCTTTACTACTTATTTCAGATTTCACTGGCAAAAAAGCATTCAGACTTTATATCTTTGCATTGTGGTCAGCCCATGAGATAACAGCACCGAACTTCCACAGGCTTCAGTGTAAGTGAAATTAGGTGACGGGCACAAAGAACTGTAGCACTGTAGCACTCTCTTCCCTTTGTTCATCGATTTGCTTGAGCCGGCACCAGTAACAACTCACAACCAACTGTGAGATTTGTTACTGCTTTTGGCATATCGAATACGCCACGGGTAGCTTGCCAGGCTTTGCCGTGCAGGCAAGATACCCTCGGTAGCTTGCCGGGCTCTCCTAGAGGGGTGGAGGAATTGAACCCAGGTCAGCCACGTGCAAGGCCAACGCCTTACCCGCTGTGTTATCACTCCAGCCCTACACGAAGAACAATAGTGTCTATTCTTTAAGTATCATTTTTCTTAATAAGGAGGGAACGATGCAGTTAATAAAATCCTGGTATAAACCGTTTATCTTTGAGAAAGCAAAGAAAGGTCAGTGTTCATCAAATGCGGAAGCCTGTGCTTGTGCTGGCTTTGAATGGTCCTATCACAGCATGTTCCCATGCTGGACCGCCAGACTGAGCCCGGACCCTGCAATGATGAGTGGGGCTGGGGGGGGGGGGGGGCGGGGAGGGCCCATGCAACGAAAAGCCATTGTCTTTTTTTTGGGGGGGGTGGGGTTCACACCTGGCAATGCACAAGGGTTACTCCTGGCTCTGCACTCAGGAATTACTCCTGGCGGTGCTCGGGGAACCATATGGGATGCTGGGAATCGAACCCAGGTCAGCCGCGTGCAAGGCCAATGCCCTACTCACTGTGCTATCGCTCCAGCCCCAAGCCATCATCTTTAAAGGGTAAATACAGTGAGACAATAACCAAAACCTACTGCTCCTTATCAACGTGGCCCAAACCCTCCTTCTCCCTAGAGAAGTGAGCTGAGACACTTAGGTCTGCCTACCCCACAGCATTAGAGTCCTTCCATGTCCCTGCTATCATTTGGACACACTCTTTCCTCATCACCACTGAGAATTATGACTTTCCTGGCACAGCCTCTAGCTTGTCTTCATGGTCTTAGTATGGCAGTGGCTGAAGCAGGCGCCTCTACGTAGGGACTAGGATCGCTGGTTAGGTCAAGAGCCAAGTCTTCTCCCTCCCTCCTTGTACCCAGCACTGATGATGTGCTAGGTGTCACTCAGCTAGGAAGCACAGCAGGACACAATCATGGATTGAGTTACTTAAGACTTTTTTTCTTGACAGTTTGGGAATGTCTTCGGGTCATTTTGCCATTCCATAAGGTTGTATCAGGTGAATTCACATGGAGGCATGAATGGCAAAGGGAAGCAGAAAGTTTAGGTCTTAATTTTTCTGTATTTTTGAAATTCTGTATACACCCGACATTATAGACTTTATTCTGATTTGCGCTATATTCTGAAACTTGGTGCTACATAATCTGTGTCCGGTAAAAGGGAAGAGTCAACGTATGTAGAACACACTTTAGTGCACAGAATTGTTCGTTTCAGAGGATCTAACTGCTTAGCCTGATTGTTCAGTGATATTAAATGCCAATATATCATGTCCTAGATCACAATGTGTGTGGGGGGAGGGAAGGGTGGGTGGGAGAGGGGCTGCTTGGTGCCGGAGTCCTTGCCTTCCACGCATGAAGCCCTGGGTTCCGATTAGGTGCGTGCTGCCCCTTCCACCACCACCACCCCACCATCCCCATCCCGCCCCAACACCGTTGGGGGGAGGGGGGATTCCCCACCCCTCATCCTAGCACTGAGCATGCGGCGTGGCCCTAAAATAAAACCTAATTACAAGACAGAAATAAAACGTGCGACTTAGAATCCCTTCCAGTCTCCGAAAGAACAGACCTCCAAAGCGGCATCGATTAGACGCTGCTCTAGTTCGGATTACCATTTGGGAGGCTTTGGGGGAAGGCGGAAGCGGGTCACGGTTTTGGAAGTCAGGGGTTCGGGTCCAGGTCTTAGCGCTTCACCGAAGCGTCTGTGCTAAAACTCGACCCATCTGCACGGCACCCCTCAAGTGCTCGCTCTAGCCGGGGGGAGACCCAGGCGGAGGTGGCCGGGGCTTTGTTGGCCGTCGGCGGGGCTGGCCGGGCGCGGGGTGGACGCGCCTTTGTTGGCCGCCGGCCGGGCCCGGCGCGGGGGCGGCGCTTCTGCCCGAGGGGGACCCGGCCCGCGTCGGCTCGGACCCGCCGACGTACGTGCGGTTCGGTGGGGGGTGGGGGGGCGGTGGGCGAGGCCGTGACCCAATAAAGCGGGCCGGGCCGCCGGGAGGCCCCGCCCGCGCCGGTTCCGGCCACTGGCCGCTGGTCCCGGCCGGCGGCAGCTCGCGCGCCCCGTCCTCCAGGGTGTGAGCGCGGCCGGGCCGGAGGGAGCGGGGCGGCCCGGGGGGGAGGGGGGAGGCCTGGGCGGACCGGAACCGGAGCCGGAACCGGAACCGGAGCCCGGCGGGGGCCTGGGCGGACCGGAACCGGAACCGGAGCCCGGCGGGGCCTGGGCGAGCCGAAGCCGGAACCGGAGTCGGAGCCCGGCGGGGCCTCGGCGAACCGGAGCCGGAACCGCTGTCCGCGCCCACCCGGGCCTCGGTGTGCGGGAAGCGCGGCCCCGGAGCCCCGCCCGCCGCCGCGCGCCCGGCGCCTCCTCCGCGCCGCCCTCCGCGCGCGCATGTAGCCGGCCCGGCGGGGCGAGCACGCGATGGCGGGTACGTGGCCCGGGCGGCGGGCGCGGGTCCCGGCGCGGGGGCGGGGGCGGGCGGCGGGCGCTGACCGGCCCTTTCTTCTCCCCGGCGCAGACCTCTCGCTGCTCCAGGAGGACGTGCCCGAGGACGCGGACGGATGTGAGTGGTCGCGGGGGAGGGCGGGGACCGTTGGGGCCGCGCCGGGCCCGGGAGGACGGGGCCGGGGGCTCCTGGGCCCGCGGCGGGTGTGGCCCCGGGCTGGGCCCGTCCCGAGGGCTGCCCCCACCACCCCCCACCGAGACCCCCAGCAGCGGGTCTGCAGCCTTGGAGGAGGAGAAGCCGCGAGTCTGCAGAGTCGGTCATCACAGCCGGCCAGCACCCGGGGACGACCCCCGGCACACACCCCGGCCAGCGCCCGGCCCCGGGGACGGCCACGGCGCATACCCCGGCCAGCACCCGGCCCTGACACACCCCGGCCAGCACCGGGCCCCGGCACACACCCCGGCCAGCATCCGGCCCCGGGGACGGCCACGGCACACAAACCCCGGCCAGCACCCGCCCCAGGGACGGCCACGGCGCACACCCCGGCCAGCACCCGGCCCCGGTACACACCCCGGCCAGTGTCCGGCCCCGGGGATGGCCACGGCGCACACCCTGGCCAGCCAGCACCCGGCTCTGGGGACAACCACGGGACACACCCCGGCCCGTACCCGGCCCCGGCACACACCCCGGCCAGCACCCGGTCCCGGCACACAACCTGGCCAGCACCCAGCCCCGGGGACGGCCACGGCGCACACCCTGGCCAGCACCCGGCTCTGGGGACGGCCACGGCACTCACCTTGGCCAGCACCCGGCCGGGGGGATGGCCACGGTACACACCCCGGCCGGCCGGCACCCGGGGGCGGCCAGCCTAGCCCGTGTGCGCTTCCCGAGCATCGGGAGATGATCGGAAGGTGCCCGAGTTGGATAACCAGAGGAGGATTTGTTGTGTAGGGGGAAGCCTGTCCGATGCCGAGATTTCCTGTGGTTCATGCCTAGGTAAGGAATCCGGGACGACTGCGGGCTGAAAGCGCCTTTTGGATACTGTGAAGCCTTTGCCTTAGTAGTGTGTTTTCTTTGCCCAGGTTGAACTTAAATTTTAAATTCTCTGAGTGAAGGGGAATTTACAATTTAGGTGAATTCCCCTAAAATGTTAACTGTTTTCAAAAGTAAATGACCAGTGTGCAGACTTTGGCCACATTTTTCTTTTGTTTTTTGCTATTTTCTTGCTTATTTAGAAAAAAATCGAAGTTCTTTAAAAGAGCTATATTCAAGTAGTGAAGCATAGCTCTTCTATTTCAATTAGTTATTACCTTTCTTCACTTTTTGCCTATTGGAAAATTAAAACTTATTTAAGGCAGCTCTTGATTGCTGGCAAAAGTTAGATTTGAGGGGAGCAGAGATGGAGAGATGGTACAGTGTGTTGGGTGCTTGCCTTGCACGCAGCCAACCCAGGTTTGATTCCTCTGCATATTAATTTGGTCTTGGAGCCCACTAGGAGTGATTCCTGAGTGCAGATCCAGGAGTAACTTCTGAGGCATGCTGGGAGTAGACCAAAATAAAAAACAAACAAAAAAATCCCACAAAACAAAAAAGTTAGAATTGAGCAGTGACCCTGATTGTTATTAAACCAGAGCTTGGGGTCTTGTATTTAGCCCTAAGACTGTCACTGGTTGGTCCAAATGATAACACTTGGGTACTACAGCTCTTGCATGGCTGCCCACCAGTGTTCAGATCATCACTCACCGTATGGTTCCCCTGGCTTGCCAGCATGGTCCCTGAGCACAGAGCCAGGAGTAAGCCCTGATCAGAGCCAGTATGGCACTTCCTGAACTCCCCAAAAACTTTGTAACGAGTAATATTTTATATAAGTAGAAGATCCTCAGGACGTGTTTCTGAATGTCCAGAGCAAAAACTTAGCATTTGAATGTATTTTCACATAGATGCCATCAACTCTTGACCTCTAGTGGCATCCTTGGGTCTCAGGCAGGGTTTAGAGGGCTAGGGCTGAGGAAGAGCCTGGCAGTCATTCTGAGTGTCCAGCCGTCTGCTGAGGGCCCAGGATACAGCTGAGAGAAAGATGTTCCCAGTCCAGTGGTTTCCAGTTTCCATATAGGTGTGACGCTACAGGGGCCAAGGCAGCCTAGGGCCTGGGTTAGTTAGGGAACGACTGTAGAGCCGAATGGCTTTCTTCTGGTCCCGGCCTTGTCCCTGTGGACAGACTGCTGCAGCCCCCTGACCCTCTCTAAGGCTGTTTGCTCATTTGTCCTTGGTCATGATAAATATTACCTGTTTGAGTCTTATGTAAATAAATTGCACACAAAGCGTGTGCAGCAGTACCTGGTAGGGAGCAATTGAGTGTCCGCGTGAAGAGCAAAGGGAGCTTAAAAGCAGGGAGCCAAGGAAGTGGGGTGTGGCATTAACTGTTAATGGGAGAATAGATGACCCAGATGCCGCCAAGGCTTGGAGTGAGCTTGTCAGATGTGTATTGGGTCGGGGGTAGCTCAGAGGACTAGAGAGTATACCTTGCACGTGTGAGGCCCCAGTCTGACCCCCAAATCACGTACTCGGTGCGCCACCCCACGCTTGTTACCCCATGGATTGCTGGGTGTATTTATGGTGGCACGTGGTACACCTAGACATGAGTAGCATTAAAATCTTTATCTCTCAGGGGCCAAGTATCATTGTGATTGGCCCCTGGGGTAGCTCCCCAAGGAGATAAAGTGTGCTTTATTTGGGGAAAAAACCCAGATCTTTGAAGGCACAAGTAGTTTATTTATAACTTGAAGACATTGTTATAATAATTGCTTATTTTTCTCAGCTGCTAAAGGTTTGCTAGTTTGAACAGAATTTTCAGAAGTATGGGCTGGAGCGATAGCACAGCGGTAGGGCGTTTGCCTTGCATGCAGCCAACATGGCCAACCTGAGTTCGATTCCTCCGTCCCTCTTGGAGAGCCCGACAAGCAACTGAGAGTATCTCTCCCGCATGGCAGAGCCTGGCAAGCTACCCATGACTTATTCAATATGCTAAACACAGTAACAACAAAAGTCTCCAATGGAGACGTTACTGGACCCGCTCGAGCAAATCGATGAACAACGGGAGGACAGTGACAGTGACAGATCACAAAGAATGGGCTCTTTGAACTGACGAAAGACCTTTAGGTGTCATCTATTGAGAAGGCTGGGAGAGTGAGGAGGGAATCTGGCCGTAGTGCTCGGGTTGAGGGCGAGATGTCGGGAACAAAAGGGCATATCGCATCCTGGAGAAACTGGGAGCGTAGAGGAGCAGAGCTGTTGGTCAGGACTCAGCCGGCCTCCTGGCTCAAGCTCTTGTCTGGCAGCTGTGGAGCTGTGTGCCGCTGAGTAGGCTAGGGTACAGTCAGCCCTGGACGCGGGACGCAGGTATCTGCTCATCAGCCTGGTTGCTTTCTCTAAGTGCAGAGCTAACACTGAACGATGAGAAAGGGACAGTTAAGTGCTGCTGTCCAGGTGAGTCAGTTGGGGCTCCGTTGGCAGGGCGGAGCGTTGCCAGGCTCTGATTAAGATTCTCAGGTCACTTGTAGGTTTTTAAACTCCAAAACCTCCATACAGGGTTGGTGGAAATGTTGATAGAATTGGGGAAAGGATTCCTCAATCAAGGATTTGACTTGGCTGTTGGAGAAAAGGAAACAAAATACAAAATACATGAAAAATAGTACTGACATGTACATGTCAGAGGGTCATAAAGGTAAGTACATACAATTATTAGGTACTATTAAAATTAGATTTAGTAGTGTGTCCGCTCTGTATTATGAAACATGCTTTGAATTTTGGAGTGAAAGCAAGCTTGGGTTGCATATCCCTTAGCTGTGACTTCAGGTTGGGGAAATTTTTTGTTCCTGGAGCAGTAGGAAACAGTCAGAATGCAGATAGACTTTCAACGATAGTTTAAATTTCTTTGATCAGTTTTCCAAAGATGTAATTTGGAGTTATTTAGTTTATGAGGCTTCTAAAATGGATGAGATAAACTTAAGATACAGTAGGATTTGATGAGTTAATACTTGTAAACATAATGAAAATATGAAATTTTTAACATAGTAATGTTAGAGTCATTCACAAAAGTTCATTCTTATTATAAGAATGATCATTCCGCTCAGTAGCTTCCATCCACAGAATGCCTTCCCAGAGGCAGTTGTGGGTTATGTAGGCTGTGGTATTTGATGTTAACAAACAGGTCTGCTGATGCTTGAAGGGACAAATATTTTTTCCTTAGAATAAAACTCTTGAGTAACAACTAGCCTTTCTAATTTTATGTATATATGTGTGTGTGTGTGTATATCTGCTCTTGATTCTAAATACTCACTTTTAAATACTCTTTTTTCTTAAACTACCCAGTTTACTACATCAGACTGCCGAAGTTCACTATAGGCCTTTTGTTTAGACCTCTGCTTAAAGTCCTTAAATTATTAATGCATGCTGTGTATGTTTTGTTCTTACCTTTTTAGACCTTTTACACCTTTTTACACCTTTTAGGTATAAACAGTGATGCCTTTTTGGGACTATGGTATGGGATATACCATGGATTTTTATGTCTGTTGAAGGTTTGGAATCAGTCCTCTTACATTATATTTTTGGACCTGAGAGCAATGTTGAAATTGAGTGACTTAACTATGGATCCGGAACTAATCAGAATCCTTAGGACCTCTGACTACTTTTTGAAAACCAAGTTTTATAAACAGTGTAAACTTGGGGCTTGAGCGATAGCACAGTGGGTAGGACGTTTGCCTTGCATGTGGCCAACCCAGGTTTGATTCCCAGCATCCCATATGGTCCCCTGAGCACCACCAGGGTAATTCCTGAGTGCAGAGCCAGGAGTAACCCCTGTGTATTACCTGGTGTGACCCAAAAAGCAAAACAACAACAACAACAACAAAAAACTGTGTAAACTCTTTGCCACCTGGGAAAGGGAGAAGCCAAAAAATAAAATAAAGCCATAATTGGGACTGTATCTATTTCATGTGCCCAGGGAATTGTTTAAAAACCTTAGGAGGGGGTGTGTGGGAGTATGGGAAGCACCCCAGGAAATGCCGTGATATGTAGGAATGTTGTTAAATAGGAACTTGGAAAAGTGAGTCATTAAGACTTGGTAGCATGTTTTAATTGCAGCCAACCAGGCTAGACAGGAAAAATAATTTTTTTGTAAAATGATCTATTTAAGGATAATATTGATATCCTAGACAAGAATGTTGCAGATGGCTTTAGTGGTCCTGCACGTGTGTAGTCAGTAATTGATTCCTTGGTGACAATTCCTCATGTAGAATTTTCCTTTTGAAAAGCAAGAAAAAGAGGGAAGAGCTTTGTTTTTAAGTATGTATGACAGCTGTCTAGGCTTGCAGCTACATGACTAAAAACTCACAAAATGAGTAGTCATTGTTCTTTCTGCCGATGGTAAGAAGTCCTCTGGAGGTAAAGTTCAACTCTGCCATTGATGTTTGAGCACTAGCTTATTTTTAGTTCATTGGTCTCTGTTCTTCTCATCAGAACAAAAATACCATATTTTTTATTAAACTATTGTTATTGTACTCCTCCACCCCTCTCGGAGAACCCGGCAAGCTACCGAGAGTATCTCTCCTGCATGGCAAAGCCTGGCAGGCTGCCCGGGACGTATTTGATGTGCCAAAAACAGTAACAAGTCTCACATGGTTACTGGTGCCTGCTCGAGCAAATCGATGAACAATGGGAGGATAGTGCAGTGCTATTTTCCTGTATGTTTTGTTATCTTGTGTATTTTACTTTATTTTTATTAGTTTAATTTGTTTGAGGGTCACACCTGGAGATGCTCGGGACTCTTTCAGCCGTGCTCAGGGGATCTTAAGGGGTGCTGGGGGTCAGACCCAGGTTGGGTCTAGCAAGGCAAGTGCCTAACTGTTGTATCGCTCTGGCGGCCCTAATTTTAATTTTAGTTATTTATGTTTTGCTTTTCTGGGCCACACCCAGTGGAACTCAGTTCTTACTCCTAG